TATAAAGTAACAAATACATATTAATTATTACTCAAATTATTATTTCAGTCGTTCTTAATGTATCAAGCGTCTATGTGCAAAGAAAAGCCAAAAACTATGGTTTTTATCATTAAATGAAGATATCGCCTAAAGATGCTTTGCGGGCTTTACGGCATAACCAGGTTTCATTCGCCCGGGTCCCTGGGTAGTTGCTCCTCCCCCCTTCGTCGCTGGGCCTGTGTCGAAGAGACATAAAAAGAAGTTCATAACATAAAGAAACTTGTATTGCTAGAGAACGTACGTTGGTTTTGTCTGAAGCGTATGTTTAGTGTTTCACAACATAAAATTATATCACAATGATCACGTAACGAGTAAATTCCAACAAAACATGTGACTGTTTTAAGTTTACGTAATTTGTAGGTGGCGTTCCGACCTAATGTAATTCTAACGACCCCTATAAACTAAAAGAAGAAGAAAAGTTTAGTTCAGCGTGGGAATCACGTGTTTATCCAAGTATGAATAAACTGTATTCAGTCTATGCCACTAATAAGCATTATTAACTTGTTATAGACAATAGCATTTACTTCTAATGATTATCTCATCAGAATGATTAAATAAAAGTTTAATGAATTGGTTCTTGTTTGTTTGTTTCAGCATTTCGCCCAAGCCTACACGAAAGCTATCCGGGCATTAGCTGTTCGTAATTATGAACTGATAGACATTAAGTGAAGGTAGTTGGTCAACATCATCCCTTGACAATTTTTATGCGATCGAATAGTTGGATTTAACTGTCACCCCTATAGCGTATCTACAGCCTTAAACTCAAGCCCGCATTAAGGTAGTTTGAGGCCCTGGCGCACTCATTTTTTTAGGCCCCTTGAATATGGTACAGGCAAATTTGAAGTTAATTACAATAATACATATTAAGTTAATTACAGAATATGAGCTAATTATTCCACACCAGAATTTTAGACATTTAACAACTCGACGCAATACCTCCCTCCAATATCGTATTTGGTATTCTAAATCATTGTTTAACTTTGAATCCACAGTTTCCTATGCTATTAGTTTGTCCCACCCAGCAGTGCACAGAATAAATGTAGGCTTTACTTTTTTCATGGTTTTGTATAGCTCTAGAACCATGTGACCAATCGCAGAATACTTTTATAAAAGAGTCATCAGAATCTTTAAAAATAATGCACAAACAATTTCCAGAAAAAGGAGAATAGATCAACCAATCTCTTTTTTTTTGTGTGTTTCGCCGTTTTTGAGTTTAATCTTTAAACAGTTCAATTAACAGCATCTCTGAAAATCTGTTGAATGCACACTTCTCTTTGACGCTGAAAAATCTTCCTCTGCTGTATTTTGTTCTGGAATCATATTTTTGCGAGTCCAAAATTATTTTCCTTTCCGCTGGCCATAACGCTGGATGAAACGATAAATCGTCTTCCTCACCAGAATTAGTAGTGAGATTTTCAACCTGACACGATCTTTCCTTTTGCGAATCATAACGGGGATGAAGCTACACTTGTGCTAGAATTTTTAAGTTTGTACAGTGGGTTGAATAACACTCAGGGTAGAAGCTTTGTCCTTGAAAAGGCTGGTTGGGTTGTTCTGCTCCTCTGTATCCTTAGAAACTGAGAAAAAGTTGGATAGCTCGGGAACTTTTTATAAAGCAGATTTTATTTTTTCTAGTTTCTTCTTTTGTTTTTTCCTTTTCTGGAAACCACTTTCGTATTTTCTTGCCATGTTTCAGAACGCCGATTGCTGATGTAATAAATTAACAATTACATTTCTAAAAAGATATGTCAAAATAAAAGAATATATCATCCCCTCGTTGCTCTTAGCTTTATATTTTCATTCACTTTAATTATAAAAAATATTAATGGTCATATCATGCCCCATGATATATTAATTACTTTATGTTGTCATTTATTGACTAGGTAGGTCAAGAAAACAGTTTATCAAGCAGCGCAAAGATATTTAGGGAATATATTATAAAATAAAGCTATTTATACGTTAAGTTTTAAAAATAATACTTACTTTTTGTCGAAGTTTTATATACTTTTATAATTTAGGGCTTTCTTATTTACAAAGCACCTTTAATAGTTAAAATGAACGAATGAATAATCATCATTAAAAGGTCAAATGAATATATAGATTTGACCCACTCTCCACGCCTACCTCTACCTTGGTGTTACTTAAATTTATAACCAACAGATAGCTTAGACTTCAATTGATTGACTGGCATATGTTTTATACCACGTGATGTTACAGTTAATTGACAATTTAGCTGAAGAGAAAAAATGTTTCCCACATGAACATAGTGGAAGTTAAAGTTGAATTTTTAACTGCTCAAGTCACGTGATTAGAGAGCCAGAAAATTTCTCATAGAAGGTCCAGTTTCTTAGCTGTTCACATGAAATTATTCTATATTATTCGCTGAAAAAATATTTTGTAGACTAGTAGCATTGATGTAAAATAGTAGGGGTAACAAAGAGGACAGTTGACGGCAAAAAAAAACGACTACACAGGTGAGTGATATATTTCTTGTTTTTCTTATCTATTATTTATTTATTATTATAAAAGTAACTAAAAATGTAAAACTTAGAAACTTTTAGGCTAGATAAGGTTAAAGTAGGTAATATAAATAAATATTAATTATAAAATGTTTCTGCGACGTACACTCGCTAGGACTAACAGTTCATGAGTGGCACGAGCTATATGTGACTTGGTTAGTGTAACATTTCCTTCATGTTAAAATATTCACCACAAAATAAACTAATCATCTTATTCTTTGTCAGCAAAAGTTATCTAATTGTTACCCACCTTTCTCATATATATATGAGGAGCCGCTACTGAGGATCCGGACTGTCAGTTTAACTCTGTCTTTTTTCGATAAATCTTCATATTATATCTATTCTTATTGTTATCTATTCAAATTGTAACAGGAAACATGATTTCTTTACACTAAATGGTTTTAAAGTTCTTAACCTTATACAACTATTCATAATTAAATTTTAATCTTTTATTGCCTTTTGGGCCGTGATTTTTAAAATTCCCACCATAAAAAGTGTCAAAATATGCGGCATAAAGTTGACCATATTGATGTTGCATAAGTACATAACCTTATTTATGGACATTATATCTACTTTAACGGCTTGATGTATGTCATTCATTCCAGGGTCATGTGATTCTAAGCCTCCTCTTATGGAAGAACATATTGTTTTGGATCACTCAATTTTGGAGCAGGTAGAAAAAAACATTTCAGTGTATTTTGGATACAAACAACCAAATGAGTGACTTTTTCAGTGAAGATGTTAAGCAGTACTTTAAGCATTGCTTTTTTAATCTCAGTGGGAATGATGGCTGTGGAATATCAATGTTCTTTTACAGGTCTTCATGTGTGCCTGTTTCTACTTTTTGGATATATTTCACAGTCTAATTTATGTAGTGAATATTAGCATGAATTATTTTCTTAATTCATTACAATCTTCATTTCCTATGTCCTAAAAATAAACAAAAAGTTATAACTGATAAATTAAGAATGAAACTATAATGTCTAAGTTCTTTATGACTTTTGTGGGCTAAGTAATACATATTAAAATACATTATGGTTTTGTATTGTGAACATGAAATTATAAAACACTTTATAATTTTTACTTCATTTGAATTACGATGTTGATGTGAACTGGTTTTTAAACAAAATAGCGAAAAGTTGAACCTTATAATTTAATATAAGTGTAGTTTTATCAATTTTAAGCAATCACTGTTTCTCAGTCTTAGCTCTCATGATTTCCTTTATCTCAGCTTTGAAAAGTGTAAGATGAAAATAAATATTTTTATTCTTAGTTTGAAAATCGCCTTTCACTCAGACCGATTCAGTAAAGGCTTCAGGAATGTACAAAAATTGCTTTATTAAAAAAGCTAATGTTTTTGTAGAACGTGCCTATAATATTAAGTAAAAACTTGTCAAGATTCCTGAAGATACATGTAGTAAGTTTGGATTTAGTTTGTATAGTTTTAAGGTAACAAGATAGATTCCAAGGTGAGTAAAACTGACCAACTCCAATCAAGACTGGACGTGATCCTTACCCAATTTATTACTGCCTCTGACTATGTTAGATAGTTTGAATGTTTAGAAGGCCTTTAGCTTAAACGTAATGTCATCCTAATTGATCATGAGAGAGGGACTGATTATATCACTGACCGTACTTTGTTGATAAGATACACGTTCTGACAATCCTACTATCTAAACAAACAATATCATGTGAAAAATAAATTCTTGGTACAACTTGCAGATATCACCTTCGTGTACAGAATGGTAAAACTAGAAAAAAATGTGTTTGAGAACATCTCTGATACTTGCCCATTTATGTATTGTTCTACATTGGATAGGTTTAAGTCTTAGCACCTTTCTTAATTGAGTTTCTGAGAAGACAAACATGATAATCACATCTTGTTAAACAATTGATAACACTAGATCTCGCCACTGACTATCCACGTTAGGACCAACTTTAGGTGATCCCGGAGTGATTTTAATGAATGGTTTCTATAATTTTCAAATATAGTAATGACACATCTATTCTCTGTTCCATTTTGATTTTTATGCCATAGATTTTCAATGTAAACAGTAAGATAATGCATAGTTAGACCAGGTAAACAGATTTAAACTTGAAAGAACTAAGCAAAGTGGGAAACTGGCTTACAAAAAAGAACTTTCTAAGTAAATTATTTTGTCGCTCTTTAAACATACAGACAGACAAATCAAATTCTATTATTGTTGGTATATATATAATGATCAGTTTTGTTTGATTTAAACAGCACATGATCTTAACCAGTCAGGTCTAATGTTTCTCTACAGGTAAAAACAAAACTACTAACATAAACCAAATAAAGTAAAATGCTGAAAAAGGAGCTTCACAATGGCATATGTCAGGGGAGCTGGTGATGTATGTACCAACTAAATCAACAAAATACAAAATTAACAATTTTAAATGATATACAGATTTTGTCTTTTACTAATTCCGTTACGTATACAGTTGAAAATGAAACTTGATTTAAAAACAACTTTTGTTATCTTCTTCAGTTAGAAAGAAAAAATATTGAAATACAATTGTAGATAACGTAGCTCACTTACCATAAAGATAATGTTACAATTAGCTCACCTACCATTAACACATTGTTACAATTAGCTCAGCTACCATAAATATAATGTTACGGATACCTCACTTACCATGAATACATTGTTACAAGTAGCTCACCTACTATGAATACATTGTTACAAGTAGCTCACTTACCATAAAGATAATGTCACGGATACCTCACTTACCATGAATACATTGTTACAAGTAGCTCACTTACCATAAATATAATGTTACGGATACCTCACTTACCATGAATACATTGTTACAAGTAGCTCACTTACCATAAATATAATGTTACGGATACCTCACTTACCATGAATACATTGTTACAAGTAGCTCACTTACCATAAAGATAATGTTACAATTAGCTCACCTACCATTAACACATTGTTACAATTAGCTCAGCTACCATAAATATAATGTCACGGATACCTCACTTACCATGAATACATTGTTACAAGTAGCTCACCTACCATTAATACATTGTTAAAAGTAGCTCACTTACCATAAAGATAATGTCACGGATACCTCACTTACCATGAATACATTGTTACAAGTAGCTCACCTACCATTAATACATTGTTACAAGTAGCTCACTTACCATAAATATAATGTTACGGATACCTCACTTACTATTAATACATTGTTACAATTAGCTCACCTACAATAAAGATAATGTTACGGATACCTCACTTACCATTAATACATTGTTACAAGTAGCTCACCTACAATAAAGATAATGTTACGAATAACTCACCTACCATAAAGATATTGTTACAATTAGCTCACCTACCATAAAAAGAAAATGTTACGAATAACTCACCTACCATGAATATATTGTAACATGTATGCTCACCTACCATAAAGAATATGTTACAATTAGCTCACCTACCATTAACACATTGTTACAAGTAGCTCACTTACCATGAATACATTATTACAAGTAGCTCACCTACAATAAAGATAATGTTACAATTAGCTCACCTACCATAAAGATAATGTTACAATTAGCTCACCTACAATAAAGATAATGTTACAATTAGCTCACCTACCATAAAGATAATGTTACAATTAGCTCACCTACCATAAAGATAATGTTACAATTAGCTCACCTACCATAAAGATAATGTTACAATTAGCTCACCTACCATAAAGAATATGTTACGAATAACTCATCTAACGTAACGCAGACATAAACAATTAATGTTAGAAACTGATCAGTTGTGAGATAAAAACTATGTGATCTAAGTTTGGTAATCAGCAGGAAAATCAAGGCAAGTAATGAAAACAACAGTGAAGCTGAAATAACAGATGGCGAATCATTGCTTTCAGCGCAAAGTTTTAGCTCGTCACAACATTTCTTTGTGAACAGGAATGTCTTCGAGATCCAATGAATGGCGGGTGTACATACAGCACGTGAAGAAACAGTTACCAGGTGACGATCGGGCGATTCTCCCACTAGGACCCAAGAGTGTTTTGTGCTTATTAAACACTTTTTTAAATTGTATGCATGAAAAACGTTTAACTTAGGCCAAGTTTAAAAATTTAATGGTTAATTTCTGAGTCTGTTGGCTATCGACGGTAATTATTTGTTTTTATTTATCACTTTAAAATACATGGTGAATTGAATCCCGACTTTTAGCATTGTACGTCCGTAAACTTTACGCTAACCCACTGAGGACGGCATTGGCAGAATTACGAGTGATTACTTATGCTAGCGTATTTTACATAATCCAAAATGTAATTATAAAAAGTGTACAGCACGAAGCACGTAGTGTGCTGTGCGAGTTTTGCGATTTTTATTATTTACATTTTACGGTAACGGGACGCGAACACTGAACCTGAAAATTTATAGTCTAGAACACTAAAATACAAGTCACGCTAGGCCTTCATTAAGGAATGATTTGTGTTTCCGTATTTTGAAGATTTTATTCAGGGATGATTTTAGAGTCTCTCTGTAGTGGGTGGATTTAAGTTGTTAACCCCCCCCCCCTATTCCCCCTGTTAGCGGTAATATCTTAAGCATCAATTTCCACTTATCCAATTAGTAAAATGACTCTGCACTCACAGGTAGGAAATTATTAAGCCGCTTACTAGTTTTCTACTACTTAAAACTGGGATGATATTTGAACCCCCCGCTATCCTTCTGTTTAGGCACAGGCTTTGTGATGCATTACTAAATCCCCTAAAAAATATCAAATGACAAATTTATCCTAAATGTACAATTTATTGAGAATTAAAATAATTCAAGAAACAATGAGTGTAGGATAAAATAAATCTTTTATATGTAGTCCTTCAGGCCAATGTTATCTCTAACATTATCAGTTACATACGTTATTAATCATAATTGTTCGTTTCTGTGTTTCAGAATACCGAACATGGTAATCTGTATTAAACAAGCAAATTCAGCTAAACAGTCGGTGTTCACTGTCCGAATGTAAGGTTAAATAAAGTCCGTGAAACTGTTCGGAAAAGGCACGCATGAGAAACATTCATTATTAATTTTAACGTAAGAGGAAAGGCCGAAATTGTCACTTTATCTAACTTGTGTACGATGTTAACCACGCGTATATCTTAATAAGCCAAGGTCTTTGCGTCGTAGCGTAAACAGTCATTTGTCATCATCTCATCCAGACTGTACATGTGCACGCCGGCAGAGTTACAGATAAAACCCAGTGTGCTTACATTTATCATTAATCTCCTGACAAGTCGGTAGAGCGTGAGTTTGTGACTTCGTGTTAACTGTATATTACAATACAAAGCTGTGTTTGTGAAATACATTTATCAACTCTGTATGAAAGGAAAAGCTTATCAAGTTTCATTATAGACAATTAAATGTTCCCACTACAAAGAGGTCCCGTGACAGCGAGTCGTGACGTAGCACTCGTGATAGTTTTACTATTTCGTCTTCATTGTTCGAGTAAGTGGCTACTGTGTTAGAAGTAAGAAATTATATTTACATTAACGTATTGTTATAACCGTACACTGAGTTAAGATTACAACAACCACAGAAATGTGGCCAATCCTTGCAGTGATTTTAGTATTTTTTTTATACAATCTGCTGAAGACAAAAGACTCACCACCTACACATGGAGTGTATAACTTAGCAGGCAAATATTTCTGCTTAAAAAAGACCCTGACTTTCGTCTACGTTAAAATCAGGAGATGGATTATTAAACGCAGATTCGACCTATATGACATCAATATACTAACAGACTTAGTGA